CGCCCAGCCGGGATTCGAACCCGGGTCTCCCAGTTACGCGCCGGGCACTCTTCCAACTAAGCTACCGGGAACCACGGAAATTCTCACTCCAAATTCAACTCAGCACGCCGCCTAACCACCTTTAGGCATTAAATAAATTCAAATAGAATTAAAATTTAGAGAGAAAAATCACGGCGGGAAAAACCGACTAACGTGGTCGGTTTTTGGTCTGGATATACGACTTTTAGACCAAAAACCGACTATCTCTAGAAAAATCCGATCAAAAACCGACTAAATTTTTCGACTCGGGTATCTACAAATGTCACTGTATTTATGTTGAATTTCTAAAAATTAATCACCGAAAACCCAAGTTGTCGATTACATAGATACAGACATGACTCTAAATATATCATTTCTTCACGTTTCATAACATTCTAGCCCATTTGCAATCAAAATTAGAAAATCAGAAAACCGGTCAAAAACAAGGCTTCCATTCGACAGCAAAAACCGATAAAGATCCATAGAAACCAATAGTGTCTTTTCTATCAGATTCCTTCATTTTTTATCACCGATATTTATTCAGTTCGATGCACCGTCAGCACAAAGAAGAAACTGATCACGAATTTCTCATTGGACATTCGTTACACTCGTTTTGTCATCTGGAAATGAAAACTGCATTTGGTATTCATTACTTCTTGTAGATTGATTAAAATGAGAATTTTTCATTTCTCGTTTATCATTCCTCCGGGATTTTCTCTGTCTCTGATTTGAATTACATTTGCACCAGTGGATGGAGGTTGGTTTCAAATGCATTTCTGGAAAATATTAACATTTCATCGACGATGAGAATACATAATTTATCTCCGAATCGATTGAGACTGGTTTTATTCATTTCTTCTTTTTAAAATGGTTTTTATAGATTTCGTAATTACCCTTTTCTGAAGGAGTTCCGTCGTGCTCTCTCGACCCTGCACCACTCGCGGAATTTGATGGTGAACTGCCATGTCTCCGTTCATTTCTCGGATGCTTACGGGACTCGTCATTAATCTCTCACCTGAAAAAGCGAAAAAGATTTTCTGGCATTAAATTTTGTGAGGTGAGGAAAATGTGATAAATTTCTCGTATGGTCAGGATTAATGGATTCCACTCTACCTTTTTTCATAAAAAGATGCATTTTCTAATAGAAGAAATACAGAGAAACACACTAAACTTTCAATGTCTATTAATGAGAGATCGCGGTGAAATAGTAAAGTCTTTGTTGGAGCGACGGACGTATCGAGTGACATTTGATATATGGTGGGACAAATAGTGGGAGTAATGATGACTACAATCGATTTTCCCCCGTGAATGAACGAAAAATGTTTTTCATTGTTACATTTAAAATCATCCAAGTACCGCGGTTTTCATCTAATTGCCTTTTTTTTCAAAATATTCGTTAGGCTCCAAATAAGAATGGTATGCATCCATTTTCAATGCATTTGATAAATCGTGGAAAAATTGAAGATTTTTTTCCATCCGATACTTTTGCATTCATTTATCAATTTTTCATTTTTTTCATAATTCGTTCAATGGATCGTAAAATGGATGCATATCTGTATTCTTTGCAGACTAACGAACATTGTGAAATGAAATTTGTCAATCGGATAAAAACTGAGATACTTGGACAATTTTGAAGGTAAAAGTGCAAAGCGTTATTTTTTCTTATTTCAAGGGGCAACATGGATTGGGCTTGTCATTTTTCCGACTTTTTAACATTTGCTATCATATCTTGTACTGAATAGAAAAGTCGTGTTGACTATTTTGGGATTTTTAGGTGAAAAAAGGTCGATAAGGGATTTTTTACGGACTCTGGGCGGAAAAAGCTTTATTTTCTCGCCAGTTTAGAGGGAAGATAACGATGTTCTGCTCTCCCGTCATAAGAAATAACTCCTCGCCTGGAAAAGACTCTCTTTATGGTCCGTGCTGGCTATTTCCAGCCACAAACCATATTCTCAATGTTCGTCGTGACTTAAATATACGCCTTGAAATAAAAATATGTTATTCTCACGGTGACACCGCCATCTTAATGAACTCCACTTGTCCTCAAATTTTACTGTGTAATGTGTAGTATTCTCCTCGTCTCTACAAAATTCATTGCGTAAAATATGTGATATGTCATTAATTACGAATTAGAGATTAATGAAGGACGATACAAATCAGTGACGAATATATAACCCAATTTATGGCGAGTGATGACAGTGATATACCTCGTGGAATTCTCGAAGAAGCACAAATTTATTTTGATGATACTCTACCTGAAAAATCTAAAGAGAAATATATAAAAAATTATGATGATTTCAGGAAATGGCGACAACAGAAGGGATGTAATTCCTTTGATGAGCCAACTCTAATGGTTTATTTCGGTCACTTGTCAAAGACAAATTGTCCCACAACTCTGTGGTCCATCTATTCAATGCTTAAAAGCGTATTGGTAGCGAGACAGAATGTGAACATTGACAAGTATAAACAGCTTGTTGCATGGCTAAAGAAGAGAGATAAAGTATATGTACCCAAGAAGGCAAAAATTCTGATGTTGGAACAGGTGGCCGAATTCTTGTCAACAGCACCTGATTATGATCATCTCCTCACAAAGGTAATTATCCTCAGCAAATCTGTAGCGAAGTAGTCAATGAGGTTGAGTTGATTTCAATTCTCGATTATTTCTCGATTAATATCTCCAAACTGAGGGGAATAATAAAATCGTTATGGATACCTTTTTTGCCCACAAAATCTGGATCTACAAAAAAGGTTCTAACAAGAATTTCGCTATTTCACTTAGTTTCCGAGATATTGATCGACAAATAACCGAAAATCAAAATCAATATAACCTCCTTGACCACTTCGCTACAGAAATGCATATAGGGGAACCAATGCGATTAAGCTATCGTGTTGAATTTGAAATAAATAATCATGACGATCCTCATTTTTTTTCAGGTTATTCTGGTTACTGAACTGTTAGGCACCTTCAGGAAGCAAGATCTCTGGAATTTGAAGGCTAAAGATGTTCAGGACGATCCACAAAAACGTGAATTGTTATTTTCCTTGAAGACAACTAAAAATGGTCAACCCAAGGATTTTCTTGTGGATGCTGAGTATTACCCACTGGTAAAGAAATATATGACATTACGAGGATCAAACATCACAACGCCCAACTTTTTCATTTAGTATCACAAAGGGAAATGTTCAAATCAGAACGTTGGTGAACACCCATTTGCTCACATGCCTCGGGAAATTGCCAAATATCTAGAGTTGGATACACTCTCTGATTACACAGGACATTGCTTCCGCCGTTCTTCGGCCTCAATGCTGGCTGATGCAGGTGTAAGTATGACTTCAATTCAAATTGCAGGAGGGTGGCAGTCCCCTGCAGTTGCTCGAGGATACATACAGAAATCCAAGAGAACCAAGAGTATAATCAATCAAGAGATAAGAGAGTCTATCAATTTCCGGAATGCCTCGGCATTTTTGTAGCCGCAGATCGACCCAGGATCACAAATTCAGCAGCATCAATTCCACAATAACCTCCCATGCAAAACACAAAACTTCAGGAACGAGACAATCACAAGAGTCCATTAACGAAATTACAGAAAATAAAGAAAATGAATTTCCTAATCTGAACACTTCATTTTTGAATTATAATGAGAATACACCAGCAGTCCAAATTCCTCAGAATTACACAACATCAAGAATTGGAGAGGAAATTAACAACAATTTCCCGTTGAGAACATCCAACTCGAGAAGCGAGACAATCAGAGGCGAGTTCAATAACGATATGACTAACAACAACAATGATAATTATAATACAACGATCAATGAGCAGAATACGCAAGAAATAACTACCAAAGACATTCAAAGTACTACGATCAATAATTATGGGACAGTGAATATTTACAATCATAGAGGAAAATAATAAATATGATGATTGAACAAACAAAAATTTCCAAAAACATCGAGCTTTTCAAAAGATATAATCGATGTTTTATTCAAGTTTTCTAAAGACTTTAACTGTAAGAAACAAACATGAGAGTTCTTATTCATAGAAGAAATAAAACAGAAATGTATATTTATGTAGAACTTCAATAAATATAATTTCAGTGCATTTTTGTTCTTCTATTATTTGCAAAAAATAAACAAATAAAAATCAAAGCCAAGTCAAGAAATGTCCAATGGATCATGGAATGTGCTATCAGATTATTATGGGGAGGATAACTCTGAATAGAAGGATTTTCAAAAAAATCTTCATAAACTAAAAAATTCAGTAGAGACAAGATTAAAAGTTCTTAGCGCGGATCAGAAGATACAGATTGATACGAGACAATGAGTTGGAAAACTCCGCGCCAAGAACTTTGAATCCTGTCTCTACTGAATTTTTTATTTTATGAAGATTTTTTAAAAAATTCTTGTATTCAGAGTTATCCTCTCCATAATAATCTGATAGCACATTCCATGATCCATTGGACATTTCTTGACTTGGCTTTGATTTTTATTTGTTTATTTTTTGCAAAATTTCTATGGGA